ATATCAAGAACTATGTAATGTTTTGAACAGCCAACAATAAAAAATTAAAAAAAATAATAATAATTTTAAACAATGCCTAAGATGAACCAGCTCTCTCTAGAGGTGATTTATCTTTTATTTCTGCTAAGGCTCTGTAAACACAGGGTTACCTTGATTATCAGAAAAAAAAAAAAGAATTAGATATGGAGCAAGTTATGTCTCAAGGCACTGCCAAAACAATACAGCAGCCAGCCAGCAACTGGAAGAATCTAACAGATACTTTCGATAGCCAAGGAAAAACACAGGTTAAAATACCATCAACTCAGGGTGACTATGAATATGTCTAGGAATATGGTGTCTGAGGAACCACATCATAGGCTTCACATTGCAGGAGTAGTAGACTTGATAAAAAATAGTGCATCTAAGTCACTAAGAAAATAAACAAGCAAACAACAACAGAAACAACCCCCGGAGGTGAAGAAGGGAAGGATCAGAAAGAATACAGAAGTTCACAGAAATATGGGAGTCCTTTAAGTGCATTCATATTAATGTGAGTTGAAGAGAAAGAGATGTAGAAGAAAGTTATTCCAAGAAACAATGGCCCAAACTCTTCCAATTTGATGAAAAACATTAGCATACACATCTAAGAAGTTCAGAAAACCCCAAGTACTATACACACAGATTCACACACCAACCTATCATAGTAAGAATGCTGGGGGAAAAGGAAAATTCTGATGCAGGCAAAAGAAAAATGATTTGTTATGTGGAAGGGAGCTCCATTGAGTTTAGAAGATGATATCTGAGCAGACACAATGGAGGCCAGAAGGCAGCGGGATGTCATATCAAAAAACAAAGGTTGTTAATCAAGAATCTTACATCCAGCAAAACCAAGTTCCACAAATAAAGGTAAAATGGAGCCATTCCATGTGAACAGAAACTAAGAGGGCCTCTTGCTAGCAGACTTGTCCTTTAAGAAATACAAAAGGAAGACTTTGGCCTGAAGCCAAGTGATCCCAGACACTAATCTGAGTTCTCAATAACAACAGCAACAAAAAAGTAAATCTAATTAGGTAATTATAAAAGAGTAAATTCACATTTCTTGCTTCTTGTTTAAAAAAACAGTTGTATAAAGCAATATGATATAATTATACCATTAGGCCTAGAACATATACAGATGTATTTAACAATATCAGCATAAAGAAGGTAGCTGAGAGCAAAGCAGTATTGGAGCAAGAAACAACTACAGAGGGTTACCTCAATGCACAGGACCAAATGAAAACCAGAAGCAATAAACAAGAAGGCTAATACAAGAAGCTCTATACACATATACCTAGTCTCCTTTCTTTGTGTAACTTATTTAATATGCATATAATTATGTACAGTAATAATGATAAAATCCATTATTGAATGATATACATACACACATACATATATATGTAAATATATATGTACAACAATATAGCACAAAAAAGGAAGAAAAGATAGAACTGTTTAAGAGGTAACTAAGTAGCTCACTGTAACCAAGTTTATATAAATTGGAAGTAGATTCTGATAAGTTAGCACATCTATGAAAAGCCCTAGAGCAACCACTAAGAAAATAAACTCAAAAAGTGAAAAATGTCATAAAAGTAATTGAATCCTTATGCTTGAAAAATATTTATTTAATGTAAAAAATCAGTAGAGGAGGAACAGAGGAACGATAACAGAAAAAAAAAAGACATGTTAAAAACAAAAGGCAAAATGATAGACATAAATCCAACTATCAAAGAAATTAACATTAAATGTAAATGGGTTAAATAAACCGTAAAGCAGAGACAGTGTAAGACTGAATTTTTAAAAAATGATCCAACTGTAAACTGACTACGTGGACACAATTTATATTCAAAAATATAAATAATCTGAATTTTAAAAACGTATCCTGTGAACAGCAACTATAAGAAACGGAGTGGCTATAATAGTATATGACAAAGTATATATTAAAGTGAAAGTGTTATCAGAGAAAATATGGATATTTTATAATAATGATAAAAGATAATTCCATCAAAAAGATGTAACAATTGTAAACACACACACACACACACACACTTCCAAATCAGAGACCCAAAACCCAAAATGCATGAAGGAAAAAAAATGACAGAACTGAAGGGAGAAACAGATGATTCATCAATAATAAAGACTTTAATTCTCTACGTTCAATATTAAACAGAAATAGGCAGAAGATTAACAAGGAAATAGAAGGCTTGAACAACACTATCAAACAGCTAGATCTAGCAGACATCTATAGAACATATGATCCCACAACAGTAGAATATGCAGTTTTCATAAGTGCACACTTAGTGTTCTCTAGGACAAACCACATGCTAGGGTACACGAGAAGCTTTAATAAATTTAACAAAATCAAGATTATATGAAGTATGTTCTCTGACTACTGAGGCAGGGGCAAAGGACAGGTAGCTGGTTATCAAAGAAAAAGTTAGACAGCATTTCCCCACTGACCAGTTGCTAACACCTCCAGGGGAGGGGAAGGATCACACTTTCCAACACCTGGGATTATCCCCTAGGGCTACTTTTTTTCCTGCCTGTGGTCATGTAGGCAAGATAAGAGGAGGAGGGGTCATGAGAAGAAAGGAAACCTAAAATCTATGAAGGGGCAAGACACCACCATTCCCACGGTCACCCCCTCTGGGTCCAGGCTCCTCTCAGGAGCCAGTCTCTCTCTGTTCTCTCTCTCTCCCTCCCACCTCCCCATTCTGTCTTCCATTCTTAAATAAAATTTGCTTTCTACTCTTGCCTTGGCACTTCTCAAATGTTTAATCTTCAGTATCAAGGGGAAAAGGACCCCATCCTGATATTCAAGACCAGAATCACAATAGAAAAAAAAATAAATCAATAATACAGCTTTGGGAATTTGTAAATATGCAGAAATTAAACAGTACACTCCCAACATGGGGTCAAAAATAAACCGTAAGACAAATTATTCCCTACTGCCAAAAAAAATTAGATAATACTTGAAATGAATGAAAATAGAAAGATAGCTGAACTATAGGTAAGAACCTGGGCAAAAAAAGAAATAATGAACAAAACAACATACCAAAACTCACAGGATGCAGACAAAGAAATGCTTAAGGAAAATGTATAACTATAAACACCTTAATTAAAAAAGAAAACCTCTAATCAATAATCTAACCTTCCCCCTCAAGATACTGGAAAAATACATAAAATCCAAGGCAAACATTAAGTAAGAAAATGAAAAAAATAAAGATTAGAGCCAAGATTAAGAAAACAGAGAATAGACATGCAATAGATTAAGCCAACCAAATCAAATTTTGGTTCTTTGGAAAAGTCAACAAAATTGGTAATCCTTTAGGTAGGCTGATCAACAACAAAAATAAGAAGACTCAAATTATCTGACCTGACAAAACTTCTGAGAACAATATTACTTTACAGACGCAGATGCAGGTGATATCTGCAAGCTGTATGAAAAGCTTTTGCTGTTTTTGAAAACAAAACCCACCCTAAGTCAAATTTCAAGATGTGTGAAATTTGTCAATTATCCCCAGCTAATTACCTCCCCTTTTGCTCTGATAGGCTCCCTCTCCTGTTTCAGGTCCCATTGCATAGCTTTTACTTTTCTTTGTCCACCTAGGATCGAAACAAAAGAGAAATCAGTATTTATGGTTTTGTTGATAGACAAATTGCCCTTTCAAAGCCCTTCCTACAAACACTGGTGTTCTGAGTCTGAGGTATGCAATTGGGATGTAAAAGGTTTTCCATATTAAACAATACTAACCCTCCACACAATCTCACAATCTGAATCAAGTAGTTCGTTTCAAGAAGAAAGAAAGAAAGAAAGAGAGAGAGAGAGAGAGAGAGAGAGAGAGGGAGGGAGGGAGGGAGGGAGGGAGGGAGGGAGGGAAAAGAAAAGAAAAACATTTTGGAGAATGAAATATAGGAAACTAGATATCGCCATGGAAGTCATTTATATTAGTTTTTGTTGTTATGTTTGTCTGTATTGTATATTTCAAAGAGAGATGGCAGGAGACTGTAGGAAGCCTGAGAAGTTAAGTCCAAGCACAGACCCTGGCTGTCTAGGAGCAGCAGAGACCAGCATCTCTGCACTGTTTTCTCCCTGGTCTTGAAGAGGGTCTACCAAAGGAGAAAGAGTAGCACCACATGACTGGTCATACAAGTAGGGCTTCAGATCTAGTCTTCGGAAGTTAATTACACAGGAGGCTACCTTCTGCAGCCCACGTTTGCACATATGTGGTTACAGTACTTGGCTGTAAGATGTATGTACAACAATTTTTTTCAAAAATGCTTGTTTAACTCCTCATTTGTGAATATCAAGAATTACAAAAAGCAAGTATCCAGGACTGAGACTGTAGCTCAGTGCTAGAGTGCTTTTCTTGCATGTGTGAGGCACTGAGTTCAATCCTCAACACCACACAAAAATAAATAAATTGAGATATTCTGTCCATCTACACATGCTCTCCTACTGCTGCCCTACTGTGGTCTAGGGCTACAGAGATATCCCAGCCCTTTGCAAGTTCTGCTCTCCTCATTGCTGTGGCTCTAGTCCTTTCTGCTCCTGACCAGTACTCCATGATGAACCTTTCTTGCTTCCATTCTCAGTGAAATCTGGTTTTATTTGTTCGTTTTGTACCAGGGATTGAACACTGGGCTGCTTGACCACACTGAACCAGATACCCAGCCCATTTTTTTTTTTTTTTGAGACAGGGTCTCATTAAGTTGCTCAGGGCCTGGATAGGTTGCTGAGGCTGACTTTGAACTTCTGATCAGTGTACCTCAGCCTCCTGAGCCACTGGGATTACAGGCATGCGCCATGGTACCCAGCTGGTATGATTTTTATTTGTATTAATGCTCCTATTCATACCACCTCTACCCAACACATCTCAAACCTCTGAACTCATAGTTATTCTATACCTTTCTAACTTAGACATTTTATATCACAAAATGCCTTCAAGTTGGAACTGTTATTGAAGTCATTCGTTTTACAACAATTATAACAACAACAAATATTTATTGAGTACTTGCTTTTTATCAGGCACTCTACTTCTTTACATAAATTCTCTAATTCTATCACATTTAACTGCAACTAAGTATATACTTCAATTTACCAGTAGTACTTAAAATGAATTAAAATAAGAATATTGTTGTTCATTTTTGAAAGAAATGTTTTTAACATAACAAAGAGGTGAAATCCATAGAACAAAACACTCTGAAGTTTTACAAAGTGTAAAGCACTAAATTAATACTGGATACTATTAAATTTATATTTATGTTTGTGGAAAAGAAAGCTAACCCTGGTACACTGTACCCACCTTTTTAAAATCATGATTCTTATACTTTTCTCAAATTCTTAGAAACCACAGCTTCAGATATGTCAAATAAATATGACTGCATTCACATGTTCAATTAAATCCTTTAAGAATGTAATGCATAAGGTATGATGCTGAACTAATTCCCAAAATATTTTCCATGACAACCAGTCTGACATTGTGGTATGAGTATTGAAAAATAACATGAGACATGATTTGTACTAATTTTTTACAATGCATTTTGCAGCTCTAGGCTGTTCTTGATCAAAATTCTTATTTTATTACCAAGAATTGTACTCATCTTTGAATGAGCGAATTTTCTGTTGGAGACCGGAAATGAATGACTGCTAACGCTGGTAATGTATTTTTCCTGTCTCAATATTAATACATAATATATATTCATATTAATAACAACTCTGAAAACTAGTTTCATTCCTTCTACACATTAGCAATAAACAGTATGTGCAAAAATATGAATACTAGCAGCAGTGATGTGGATATATAATATGGGATTTCTTTTGAATGTACAGCCATTTCTAATATTTCATTACAGCATTGTACAGGAAACTGTCATAGATGTCCATCAAAACTGGATTAGAGGAAGACAAACAATGCAGGCTTTGAGGATAAACTGAAGCTGCAGCTCAAAAGTTTTCATTTCTCATCCAAGGGCACCATAGGACCATTGTCTTCCTCCTGTAGGCAAAAAGAATGAATCAATTATGTTAGGGACATTCCTCCACAGCAGACTGAAAAGTCTTTCTACAGTCCAATCACAGAGAAGAAAAGCTAACAAATTTATAAGAAATTTAGAAAGATCTTGATGTTCAAGTTCATTATCTCTGCATTTTTTTTCCACAAAGTTCACCATGATTTTATTTCTATGACAGATAATGGGTCCAAAATTTCACAGAAACTAATATTTTCTACCAAAATAAATAAATGTTTGAACTGTTTTATAAACAAAAAAAAATTGCTTTTCATATCTATTAAGTAAAAATGAGGTTTTAAATCACTGCCATTAAATTCATGTATAAGAATCACAGATAAATGGTAATCCAAGAGCACAAAGAACACTTCTTGGTTCACAAACTTTAAAATTCAATTGAATACATTGACAAATAATAAGTACTGCTTAACATATGAGACAACAGCACTTTTTGAGATGATGAAAAACATGCTTTCTACTTATGGAAAGGACATTGGCTAATATTTTAGTTCAACAACATTCTACTTGCAACACCAGCAAAGAGAATGGCAACATGACACTTCTATGCCTCATGTAAACTGGTCCAATCTTTTAGACAATAAGCACCCACTGAAATTCCAAATGCATATACTTTTTCACCTAGGATTATACGCCTGGCAAGTTATAATACAGATAAAATCATCCAAACATACAAAGATTTTATGTGAAAAGATATTCACAATAGAGAAGTGGAAAAAAATGGCTTCCTTCCTTAATAAATCACAATACAGTGAAGTACTTTAGGATGTGTATCTGTGGATTTGCTTGTTCACATGTACATAAGTGTATGTGAAATAATCTCTCAGAAAATATTTATAATCTTGGGTATATATTTCCAAACCACATTTCAAATAGGATAGCAAGTCCTGATGAAATTTAAGAATTTATTTCCAATAAAAAAGTAAAATTGTATATATTTATCATATACAACATTTTGAAATATATAGGTATGAATGTGTTTGTGTACATAATGGAATGGCTAAATCAACCAAATTAATGTATTACCTCACATAGTTGTCATTTTGTGGTGAGAACACTTAAAATCTATTCTCTTAGCATTTTCAAGAATAGACAATAATATTGTCTCCTCCTAAATGAAAGTTTCTAAACTTTGACTAACCTCTTCCCAACTTTATCTCCTGGAATCAGATCTGTAAGATTGAGCCTCAAAGAGAGGTTTTCAAAGGTAAAAGAGGACATTGTGTATATATTTTTACAAGTCCCAAATTATAAAATGATATAAAAATGATAATCAAATTGTAAAATCACTGCATTTCAGAGGTAAATGGAGCCTGAAAGTCACACTATATGAATTTTCTACAAAAGTAAACAGTCCTGAGCCCAGTATTTCCCAAAATGTGTTCCATATAACAAAAGAAGTTGATTGAAAAAAATAAATCCATGGACCATGGAGTCACCAGGTGCAGTAGCATGCACCTGTGATCCCAGCAGCTCAGGAAGCTCAGGAGGCTGAAGCAAGAAGATCGTGTGTTGAAAGCCCGCCTCAGCAAAAGGGAGGTGCTAAGCACACAGTGAGACCCTGTCTCTAAATAAAATACAAAATAGGGCTGGGGCTGTGGCCAGGTGGTCGAGTGCCCCTGAGTTCAATCCCTGCTACCCCCACCCCACCCCCCCAAAAAAATGGAGACTCTGGTAAAATAGAGTTAATTCAAAACCACTGCAGTCTATAATCTGCTAATGTGCACTGTAAATATCCACAGGGAGGATATTCTATCTGGAAATCTGCAGACACACATGGCCAGTCCCTCCTGATTTAACCCATAACCCTGGTGGGCCACTGCACTGCAGAGCTCGCCTGGGAATGGCTGGTCTAGAGGTACATTTTCTAAGTTATGAAACATGATTTCATTTTAAGACTATATACAAACTTTCAAAACTTAAGCTACCATATCAGTGAAGAGATGGGTAGGCAAATGTGCAGTTACTCTAACCACCAGATCATGTCTTCCCAAAGAGGCAACATTTTAACACTTAGCACATACCAGGGCAAAAGATACACATGCCCACTTATGTCCCTTTCATTTTTGAAGCTCAAGGGCATGATTCAGGGGGTTCCCAGGGTATGCTGAAGGAATTCTAATTTACCTGGGTGTATAATCTGCTGGTGAATTTGGATACTTGCTCTCCTCAAATTTCTCTCACAGAGAAAACTAAAAATAATACACTATGATGTTGAGTTTTCATACTCTGATATTGTTTAAACAGAGAAAATGACATTCCCCAATGCCAAGGCTTTCTGAGAATGATCTTTATATTAGTTCTCCTCCCAAATGTACACTTGATGTCATTTACTGCAGGTATAGGTTACCTGGAAATACACTTCAATCGATCACATTCTAGGGTATGGATTTGGAACCAGGGAAACCCATGTTCAAATTTCAGATCCTCCACCAAGTTGCTGTAAGATTTTAGGCAATACCCATGACCCTTCGGATCCCCAAATAATAATAGCTACTACCTAGGGAGTGTGTGAGAATATGACAGTAGGTATAATATGCTAAGTATAATATGTGAAGAATGGCTCATTATTTCCCATGTCATTTGTCTGAAATTTACTTCCCACAGTCAGTTTCCATGTGATAGAAATATGTGTGGTCTCATCTGCGTTGTTAAGACCCAGCACAACATCTTATCCAAAGCAAACACTCCAAGAAAATGTGTGTGTGTGTGTGTGTGTGTGTGTGTGTAGAAAAGTGGAGAACACAGTAGCAAGTACTCCTGCTTGAACTTTTGCTTTTTTTGTGTTGAAATTATACATAGTTTAAAGGTTTAAATAGTTCCAACATGTTTGCTATAAAAACTATCTTTTCCCTATACCATGTGTCAACCAATTTCATATTCCTCTACTCTTTTCTCTGATTATTTTATTGATACTCTAGAGCCAAATGGCATGGTTGTTGACTACCATTCAATTTGTTTTCATATTATATACCAACTTTCCCTGTGGAGGTTGAAGATCTGCCCTCCTTACCCCCTGTCAGCTTCACTTACCATGTGTGCATGCACCCATACACACACTCCACTCCAGACACACATAAACCCTTTCCGTCACCCCATCCTCCAAACAGTTATGCAGTAATTTTTGTTGAGACTTGTTATGTTTATAAATAAGTCTAGTTTGTAATCTTGTTTACCTAATCCTTATCTGAGAATTATGTGACAAATGGACACATGAAATAAATATGGTTGTTTTTGTTTTGAAAAAAAATATTCAATTTCTATTATTGTAATAATATAAATATTATTAGAACTGAACTACATGTCTTCATTCAAATTCCCTTCCGTGAATGACATTTTGTTTATGTCAGAATGAATAAGTATCTTGGGTTTTTATATCTAGTTTTCTGATTCAAACCAAAATTACTTACCAAGTGCCAGACTCTCAAGTTAAGACAAACCCAGCATCGTATCACGGGAGAAAGCTGATCTAGAGCTTTCTCCCTAGTTCACACCTTAATGCTCTCCATGCCTATGGACTGCTCTACCATCATCTTGGACATTCCCCCTGGCCTTTTCTGCTTTGCTGGATTTCCTGTTTTCTGGATATCACAATTTTTTTCTTGGCTCATTTCTTCACTTTGGTGAGACACATCTAGTAGCTTCTTGAGAAATAAATTTTTGATGACCTTGATATCTGAAAATGACTATGCTATTTACACCCTTGATGGGGAGTTTGGGTAAGGAATTCCTTAGGTGCTTTAGACTTTTCTGCAGATTTCTGTGGGTCATGATCACTGACTTTTTCCTTTAGCTTTTCTGCTCAAAAGTCGAATTCTAGTTCCTTGATATTTACCTATTTTTCCCCTAATTTCTCTCTCAGTGTTCTGAAATATCACAATGATGGTGCCTTGATGTGAGTATATTTTGATATACTGTGCCAGAAAGCCTTTGGGTCTATTTTATCTATAAATTTACGTCCCCAAGTTCTGAAAAAAAAAATGTTTTGACTGATTCTGTTGCTGTGTTCCTCTCCTTCATTTTGTGTTTTCTTTCTAGTTTCCCTATTAATAATAAATCACATTGATTAATCCTCTACTTCTCCTTATTCTCTACTATATTCCATCATTTAGCCTTCCCTGTATACTAAGACATTACAAATTTTTTAAGAGTCTGTAGTAAAGTGCTTAAATATGCTGCCATGTTTTCAATTTCCAAAAGCTTTTTGATTCATGAATATTTTTTTAAAATCATCTTGCCAAACACAGAGGTGCATGCCTGCAATCCCAGCAATTCAGAAGGATCACAAGTTTGAGGCCAGCCTCAGCAACTTAGTGAGGCCCTAAGCAACTCAGTGAGACTCTGTCTCAAAAAATAAGAAAGGTTGGGGATGTGGCTCAGTGGTTAAGCACCCCTGGGTCCAATCTCTGTTACCTACCTTTTCCCCCCAAAAAACATCCTATTCTTTCTATATGGTTGCTATTTCTTTCATCGCCTCTCTGAAAATAGGACATTTTGAAGTCTTGCTTCCTGTTAAGTATGTATTTCTTTAAACTTGCCTTTTTTCTAATTTGGGTATTTCATAGCACAGACACTCTGCAAACAATCCTTAACTACTCATATCTAAGAGAGAAGAACAACTGCAACAATGAAGGGCACTGGGAAGGCCTGTCTGTCGTGAGCTCACCACAGGATGAATCTGATGGGGATCTTTTGGCCCTTTGACTGGTCAGACCCTGCACAGAAGTTCTATCCAGTTTTCTGTGTGGGGAGTAGTACTGAAGGCCAAGTGGAGAGGAAGGGAGCATGAATTCTGAGGAAATTACTAATTTACCCTTTTGTTTTTGTCGGGGGTGGTGGTGTTGAGGTCTTACGAGTTTCAGTTGTGCCTTTCATACAGAGATTCTTTTCATTCTCCCCAGAGGAAGAGCATCTCCAGACATCCGCCAGGCCCTGAGAGGGGATTTGAAGAGGTAACTACTTCTGCAAC